CCCTCAGCACTAGCACCAGTACCGTAAGATACATAGCATACATTCCCAAAAAGATTTTGTCCCAACATTGACAAATTACCCCTACGCCCTTCCGGAGCAATTCTAACCAGTCAGATGTGGACCCTGACATGCGTACCATATTCTGCAAAAAATGCATCAGATAGCTCAAGAAAGAGAAACGGCAGCGCAGTACAGGCTAGGGTGGCAATAATGTAGCGCTTAACTACAGCGTTATAGAGCTCTTTGGCTGACTTCACCTGGCGAAAGTGGGTCCTTTGGTCGGGTGGGATGTGAGCGCGGACTGCAAGTTGGGCAGGGTCGTCGCATGCCAACCACTGTGTGTAGGCAACGCGGTCAGTCGTATACTATTGCTGCACGTCCTCTCCCGGGGTAGGGGCAGGTGCAGTCAGAGTGGGTGGGGCTTGGAGGAACCCCGATGTGTGCTCAAACAGTAAGCTCTTGTCTTCGGTGACACTATACATATACTTGTGCAAGTCCTCTAGCCAGGATTTATACACCACAGGGCTCCCCTTTGTGTGAAACGATCGCCATGGCAGCAACTAGGTCTGGCTGCAGCGCTGAAATCGAGGCGGCTGTCCTAAGAACTACCGCATCCGCCCGGATATAAGACAGTGTTGAATAGTAGACAGGGGTTGTCTACTATACGGGTGTCTCTTATAAACAGGCTAGCCTCATTATAAGACACCTATTTGTGTGTACGAGATAAGACATATGTGTCTTATAATCGAAACTGCAATATATTTTAGTGAAAATAGAAATATCGCGTACATTTTTACCCTTGCGACACGCGAATTCTGCCACGTGCTGACTCACGTACTACCGGATTTGCCTCTGCAGGTGTTCTCCATGACGTGGCGTCCCGAACAATGGTTGCCGAAGTGGCACCTTCGCAACATCCACACTCATAATGGGAAACTCTTTTCAAGGTGTGTGAAATTTTTTCTAAGTACTTTAAAAAAGTTTCCATTTATAAGACTTATAAGACACCCAAAACCTCCCCAAATACAAGATAACCCAAGCATTTTTTTTAGTGTACAAGATAAGACATATATGTCTTATATCCGGGCGATGACGGTAGTCACAGGTCTAGGCACTGGCAGCAGTGCGGTAGCAGGTAGTGAGCGGGCGGCAGCTGACGGTGTACTGATAGTAGTGGGCCAAAAGCAGGCTGCATTGGGCGGCGCACAGGCGGCGGTGGGCGGCAACTGGCGGCGCACGACCGGCAATGGGCAGCACATGGGCTGCAGTGTGTTGTGCATGTGCGGCAGGGCTTTAGCGTAGGCTGCAGCGCGTGCGACAGCACTACTGTCAAATTATATGTTTAATGTTATGTAGGCTGTAGTGGGTTTAGCCTTAGGGGGTACAGAAGTTTGCTCGACACTTCTTTGTATCCCCCTCCTTGCCCTAATCATCGATCATACCTTCATACTATCTTCACATGGTATTAAGAGCTAGGACGTTCCTAGCCTAGGGCCCACCGTTAAACCTTCCGTGTTCCTGCCCGAATCGCGTTCTCTACTTTTTTCTGCCCGAAATGCGCCCTTAGGTGCATCGATTTTCGCTGCCCCGCGGCCCTGCCCTGTCCTGTCGCGCGTAGCCCGCGAGCAGCCCGTACGTCCCTCCGCGACCTTCTTCGCCGCCTCTGCAGCCGGTTACTGTTGACTCTGGTGCTGTTGGGGGTGGTGCTCCTGGAGGTGCTGCGTCTGGGGGTGCGGAGTCTGGGGGTGCTGAGCCTGCGCGTGAGGAGACTGGAGGTCCTGCGCCTGGGGGTGCTGTGTCTGGGGGTACTGAGCCTGTGTGTGCGGAGTCTGGGGGTGCTGAGTCTGGAGGTGAGACGCTTGAGGGTACTGGGACTGCTGGTGCGCGGCCTACTTGGAGTGGCCGCCTTCGTCCGCGTGTGCCCCTCACCACTCAGCAGCTGCACGACTGGTACGGTCGCCGTCAGGGTCGCGCTGCTGGAGCCCGGGGCTCTGCTGCTGGAGGTACTGGAGCTGCTGGGGCTGGGGGTGCTGCGCCTGGAGGTGCCGTTGCTGGAGACACTGCGGTTGGCGACCCTGGGACTGGAGGTGCTGGTTCTGGGGGTGCTGCTGCGGGAGACGCTGCGGTTGGAGACCCTGGGACTGGAGGTGCTGGTTCTGGGGGTGCTGCTGCGGAAGACTCTGTGGTTGGAGACAGGACGCGACGCATGCTCACGACGCTCGGCAAGAATACCTGTCACCGCCGCTAGTCTTGTTGCTGAGTCTGATTCTGTCTGTCCTCCGTCCGTCGGGGGTGAGTGTGCTCTTAGCACGGACGTCCTTGAGGACAGACAGGAGGAGTTCCAGTGTCTTGCTGCTGCTTTACCTCATCTTGTGTCCTCGCTGCTTGCCCCTGAGGGAGACCCGGATGCACCAGACATCCCGACTCCGCGCTCTTACGCAGAGGCGATAGAGGGTCCCTACTCCTCTCAGTGGCAGGCAGCCATGGACGCAGAGATGGCTTCCTGGAAGTCCACAGGCACCTACGTAGACGAGGTTCCCCCACCTGGGGCGCACATCGTCAGGGTGAAGCGGCCGCCGGGTTCTCCGCCTGTCTTCAAGGCGCGTTACGTGGCTCGAGGCTTCAGTCAGCGGCAGGGAGTTGACTACTTTCAGACCTTCTCCCCCACCCCGAAGATGACTACTCTTCGGGTGTTGCTGCACATAGCCGCTCAGCGCGACTACGAGCTTCACTCTCTTGACTTCAGCACAGCTTTCCTACAGGGCAGCCTGCACGAGGAGATCTGGCTGCGCCGCCCACCTGGCTTCACTGGGTCGTTTCCTCCTGGTACCCAGTGGAGCCTCCGGCGGCCAGTCTATGGTCTCCGTCAGGCGCCCCGTGAGTGGCACGACACACTGAGGACTACACTTGCGGCTCTTGGGTTTGCTCCTTCTACTGCCGACCCGTCGCTGTTTCTACGCACCGACACCTCTTTGCCGCCGTTCTACATCCTCGTGTACGTCGATGACTTGGTCTTTGCTACTGCTGACACTGCTGGACTCGCCCACGTGAAGTCCGAGCTGCAGAAGAGACACACGTGCACAGACCTGGGTGAACTGCGCAGCTATCTTGGCCTGCAGATCACCCGGGACAGAGCACGGCGCACCATTACCCTGACTCAGTCACACATGGTGCAGCAGGTCCTTCAGCGCTTCGACTTCACGTACTCCTCGCCTCAGGCCACTCCTCTGTCTACTCGCCACTCGCTCTCAGCTCTGCCTTCGGATGAGTCCGTAGAGCCGAGTGGCCCGTACCCAGAGCTTGTTGGCTGCCTCATGTACCTGATGACCTGCACTCGACCTGACCTGGCATACCCTCTTAGCATCTTGGCACGCTATGTTGCTCCTGGGAGACACCGACCAGAGCACATGGCTACTTGTGCAGTACGTCGGGCATGGGGCTCGTGCTTGGAGGGCGGAGTTCAGTGGTCCTCACTGGTCACGCAGACGCGTCTTGGGTTGACGACTTGGCTACGCAGCGGTCGTCACAGGGTTACACCTTCAGCCTTGGTTCCGGCTCTGTTTCGTGGCGGTCTACCCGCTCGTCTTCTGTTCTCAGCTCCAGCTGTGAGGCTGAGATCTACGCAGGGGCCATGGCTGCACAGGAGTTACGCTGGCTCACCTACCTGCTGACTGACCTGGGAGAGCCGCCTCGTTCTCCTCCAGTTCTGTACGTAGACAACAAGGCCATGCTGGCCTTGTGTCGGGAGCACAGACTGGAGCACAGAACGAAGCACATTGCTCTTCGCTACTTCCTTGCTCGTGAGCTGCAGCAGCGTGGTCAGCTGCGCCTTGCTTACGTGGCCTCTCGGGCCAACACTGCTGATATCTTCACCAAGGCACTTCAGCCTTGTGATCATCAGCGCTTTTGTACTATGCTAGGTCTTGTGCCTACTTGGCCTCACTTGCTCACTTCTTGACCTTGCTTGTACTGTGATCTATATATACCTGCACCTGCATGCTTACCCTTGCTAGGTTGAGATCACTGCCTTGCTTGTTCACCTGGATATATAACTCTGCTTGTGAACTGGCCTTGTGGCCTTGTGCTTGTGCTCAGAATGCGTGGTGACATTGTGATCCACCCTGAGCTTGTTTTGCTTTGTTTCTTCTCTTGACTGGTCTTGTGACCGTTTGTTGTGTTGGCTATCCCCCACTTCGCCTATGGGGGTGTGTCAAATTATATGTTTAATGTTATGTAGGCTGTAGTGGGTTTAGCCTTAAGGGGTACAGAAGTTTGCTCGACACTTCTTTGTATCCCCCTCCTTGCCTTAATCATCGATCATACCTTCATACTATCTTCACAACTACAGCACGCCCAGCAGCGCTTGAGGGCAGCGCGGGTAGCAACAGTGCGGGGCAGTGCAGGCGGCGGCGCGGCGGAGCAGCGCTGGGTCGCGCGCGCGGGGCAGCGCGGCAGCACAGAGCAGCGCAGGCGGGGCAGCGCGGCGCGATGGGGCAGCAAGCGGGGCAGTGTGGCGCACGCGGGGCAGTGCGGCGTGATGGGGCAGCGCAGCGCAGCGCGCGCGGGGTAGCGTGACGCTGCAATGGGTAGTGCGGGGCAGCACGGGCCACCTCGCGCAGGGGAGCGCGGTGCGACAATGGAGTAAAGGTCAGCGCGTGGGGGGCAGTGTTTTCAGCAATGGCAGCAGCGCGTAGCAAGGGGCAGCGCGACAGTAGCGGCATAGCAGTAGTAGGACAGTGTGCATGCAAACACAGCGGTGCAGCCGGACCTAACCTACTCGGATACCATGCTAGAACAGGTGGATGGATTGGAAGAGCAAGAATGGAGTATAAATAGCAAACCTTATAGATTGTACCCCCTATGGCTACCCTCACTATAGCCTAACAATATATCCGATATATAATTTGACACTCCCACCTTTCTCTGGTGTCTACTTAGCAGCAGACCCATTGCCACTCCCGCCGTTTTCCGTATCGCCTCCTTTCCCTCCACCAGTCTCCTCATCTCCCTTCCACAACCACCATCTCTTCCGGAGAAATTGCGTCTTTCCAGAGACCAAGGCAAGTGCTCAATCCCAGAATGTGCCTCGTGGTATCTGACCCTTCACCCCTCAACGCCCCAGCAACAGCCTTCCTGCTCATTTGCTTCTCGCTGTCTGCAACCAGACCTGCTCCTGTCTTGTCAGACCTAGAGTAAATGCCATAAAGTATGAGTTGTGCCAAACCTAAGACTATACCAGCGCCATTGGGTATCTGTGCGGGGGAGCCAACGCAAAAAACGGAGAGAAAGGTTTGTGATGCAAAGATGAAACAAGATTCAGGTGGAATCATACAAAAATTATGAAGGGATGAACTATTCCCAGTCTGGCATGAAGAAATGTGTTGCGAGAATCACAGGTGCCTTACAATCATATAGATGTCCATGGTGTATGTTGCATATGCTGCACAAGAGGCGAGAGGGGAGGGCAGGGGTGAGGAGCAGAGGAAATTGGGAGAGGTGGAGTCAGAAGGGTCTCAAGCACAGAGGATAGAGCTTGAACGGGATGAAGATGTCATGAAATGGGAGCAGGAGGAAAGGCATGCCAGGCTCAATTAACACAATGCAGCACAAAAAAAAAGCGAACCAAATATTTAACAACCGTCCACAGAGAACTCTACATGGTGAGATAGACATAGAAACACACAGCCTGCGGTGATAGCACAGAAAGCACAACCCATGGGCCAGTGGGCCGCACGCACCAGACCACACAAGGCAATTGAGGAACAGGCCGAGCGAGAGCAGCAGCGGCATGAACTCGACGCTGTTGGTGCGCACGACGGTGCGCATGACATCGAGTGGGCTGGCGTACATGCCTATCGTCACCACCAACCCAGTGATCCCCAGGAAGCTGGTGCGCGCGGCTGGCGTGTGGAAGGCGAGGAAGGTGATGAGGAGAATGGCGCCGAAGAGCAGCAACGCCACGCTTGCGTAGATTGCTGTGCGGATCTGATGCGGTTGAGATGGGTGGCAGAGGGTGGGGGAGGTGGAGGGGGATAGCATGTAGATGGAAAGATGATGACGAGATTGTGCGTTATGGATGGAAGTCACGTGGAATAAACCAGAAGCAGAGTTGGAGTGTGGGGAGCAAAGGTAACAGGGTGATGAATTGCCAGAGCGGAAACTGGGAGACAGGAGGCCTTCTAGCTATGTCTTGACCATGCGCTTTGGACATGCCATGCCAGCAGCCCGGCTTTAGCGATGCGCGTCGTTTTCCAGCGCAGCACATTACAGATGAAGAGGGCGCTCAGGACGGCAGCAGTGCAGTTTTACACCCACGCGAAGGCCTTCTGCGAGGGTGGGAAGAGATCCTGAAGAGGAGGTGGAGGCACCTGGGGCATGACGCGGCGACGCGACGCGTTCAGTCGTGTCTGTGAGAAGGACGCCCCACTGACTTGGAAGGATGACTTGCGGTTCATTTGGCCCACCCGAGGAACCAGTTGCGCCCGCGGCCAATTCGGAGACCCTCACTGGCCGGCTCCCTTGTGTTTCAATTACGACTGTGAAGCGAGAGCACTTCGCAATTCACAATAAAGGGGAGGAAACAGTCGAACGGACCAACCACCCTCCTGCCCAACATCATCCCCGCTCACCGCTGGCAGGGGCCCCCACCTTGATGCGCCTAGTGCCGAACACAAGGAAGGGGATGATGTAAAGGGCAGAAAAGAAAGCCCCCGTGCCATTGATGGTGGACACGAGCACGCGCCCCGGTTCCACCACGGGCAGCCCGTACATCGTCCACAGCAGGCAGTTGAACATTGTCATCACGTAGGGCAGCTCCGAAAAGTCTCCGACTGACCGCGCGAGAAAGATCGTGCGCATGGTCTTGCTGCGGGAAAAGTTGTTGGGGGGGAAGAGGGGGGAGATTGAAGGGGGAGGAAGGGGAGCGCGGGATCTTGAGAGGGGATGGTGCATTCACGAAGGAAAGTGGGCGTGAGACGGGTGGCGTGTTGGCCATTGCACGCAAGTAAGGGAATATGGATCAGAATTTGGAGCGGGGAGCAGAAGGAGCGAGGGGTGGGAGAAAGCACTGCGCTTCGACCGTCGAAAACAGGCCCGAGTTGCAACCGGTGGAGTCAGAGAACGGGTGCCAGGGAAGAGATGCCAGCGGGAGGAAAATGGATAATGGGAGAAAATGGGGGAACCGAGAGCGCGGAAGGGAACAAAAGAAGCGGTGTTCGGGTGGTGAGGGCTTACAGAGGCGAGACGAAAAAGGTGATAGCCGTCACATTGCCTGCACTCGTAAGACGAGGGAAATCAAGAGTGAATGAGTGCACGCGTGATCGCACGGAATGAGAACGATTGGATACGGCGACGGGAGCCACGAACCTAGAATACCGAGCACGAGCTTCACGGTAGGGTCAACCGGCCACGCCATGATGATGGCGCCGCCTTTTCCCAAATGTCTTTCTTTTCCTCTCAACTTGATGAGCGACAGGAGTCACAACTGGAGGACGAACTAGGAGAGAAGATTATATCCGTTGTATGCGAACGAGGAGCGGTTGGGTGGATAATCGGGAGATACGATTATCCTATGGAAGGCAGCAATCGCATTGCTGCCAGCAGAGCCGAAAATAACTGCTCAGAATGATCCTAGGGTCTATAGCTGTTGTTCAAAATGCTCCAAGATCGGCGACGGTGACTCTGTTCTCATCGCGGATTTCAGAACTCTCCGCTGTACACCCCCGCCTGAACTTCGCTGTCGTACTAACTTCGCCGAATGCTTGCATACAGGATGATACGCAGCTGCTCTCCAGCGCGGTCGGACGTTCATCATGACGTTCCCGCAATCCATTCACCCCAGGGACAGGCGGCCGGCTGGCCCGGTGAAAATCGCTCCCGATCTGCGTGTTTAGAGAGAAAGTATATGGCCTTGTTCTGGAGAACAAGAGGATGAGGAGTATTTCGCAACACTCTCGCACGGTGGAGATTCTACCGCGCTTTCCCTACCGTCAGAGATTTCACGGGGTTGAACGCTTGTCTGGTATCGGAGTGGTCACGGTAAATCATGATGGTCACGAGCAGCAACTCGTGGTCACTCACATCACGTGTGGTCGTTTCGTCCTCCCACAGACACGGATCTGCCAAGACTGTTGATTGGTTCTAAACAATACTCGAGAGTCTGAGTCTGAAGTTCGCGGTCTAAGGTCAGGAAGAAAGGGGGGGAGGGGAAGGGGGGTGGTAGGTACGGGAATCCGGGGTGCCCCAAAACCTGTCCGTTAGGAATCCGGGCTGGGGAAAAACCAACCCTGAAAATCGCCGAGCTGAGCTGAAACTATGAATTCTCAGGGAACACGGACAAATGTCCGTGAATCTACAGGCCTGCTCCAGATATGCGTGTTTAGAGAGTGTATTTCGCAACACTCTCGCACAGTGGAGATTCTACTTTCCCCTCCTTCAGGGACATCCTGAAGTGTCCCAGTCAATTGAATGGGGCACTTCGGAAGGATGAGGTTCCGGGTTCAAACCCCAGTGCCGGCGTGTTCCGCCAGCCCCCCAGAAGGGGGTTTCGCACTACTCATCTGGGAGTGGATATGCCTTACCTCGATACCCAACGAGGCGTGTAAATAAGTGGGTAGGCGGATTACGATCGACAGCCGGGGGTAACCCAAAGGGGGGGCATTCCCCCCTTCTTTACCTTTACCTACCGTCAGGGACAAATGGAGATTCCACCGGGTTGAAGCTTGATGGACACGAACGATAAACAACAGCGACTCGTGGTCACTCGGATCACATGTCGTTTCGTTCACTGACTGCTCCCACAGTGACGGATATGCTATGCTCACGGTTTCGTTTCGTGTACACGAAGAAACTCTACACGTGAAACCCGTTCGTAGAGCACACCTGCTTGGTTCGAACTACTCCAGATTAGAGCGTGTTACGTACCCCTTAATTTAGTGGCAGGCCCCGGTTGCCTCAAAAAGTCGACCCAACCTGACTGGTCGGGTCGACCGGGCAGTAAATCTGACCGGTTGGGACCAAGCAGGCAACCTGCAAATGTACCACCTGTCTGTTTTTGGGACCCGACCATGCAAATAGTATTTCGGGTAGACCTAGTAGTCATTGCATCAATATTACTGGCCAACCTTCAATGGAAAAGTTTCTACACCAGTCATATCGAGTCTCCCTAGTGCGACCTGCCCGCAAAGTTTTTGTTAACCCCCGGTTGCCCACCAGGTTGGTACGTTGGGGCTTGGTTGCCTCGACCTGGTTGTATGTGGACGCGACCAGCCGGTTGGCTGACTGCCTGGTCGCTTCGACCAAGTGTGCGCATGCCCTGGTACACACGTCCTTTACTGTACACTGTACACTCTCGGGTAATTTGGTAACCCTACGTTCAACCCAACCTGACCGTTCGAGGCAACCGCGACCAGGCCCCAAAATAAGGGGTACGTAACACGCTCTTACGAGGAACGGCTTGGCCCTTTCGTTACAGTTACAAAGAAACCAATCATTTTTTTGCACTATCCAACAAAATACATTATAAAAAACATACATTTATAGTCATAACCGTCTCTCGGTCACTTTGAAACGTGTGGTGTACGGGTTTTGCATCTCATGTTCAGTTTGCATTGTCTGGTTGCCCTAAAAGCATAGACAATGTCGAGAAAGTACAAACAGTGTTGACATCTCCATAAATTTCCTCAATGTATAGGTAGGTTTTCCATATGTTACAGTTTGGAGCGGGACTTAGCGAAAGGATCGTTCAGGGTTGATCGCAGGTTGTGTCGCAGCGGAAGTGTTGAACTCAGGTCAGAATGAATGTAAATGACTGAGATTGACAAAAGCATGCATACATAGGGTTTATATAGAAATACAAAGAAATCCGAAACGACCTAGACTAGCCATGTACTCTAAGGGGTACATTCCCTTATTGCATTGATATTCAAACCGTGCGGCGCGGAATTAGTTTCAAACCTGTTCCCGCTCTTTTCATTTCAAATGTTTCTGCCTGCATCGGTCTTGATCAGACGGTTGCTGTGTCGCTTCGACTTTTTTTGCTCCTCGACTTCGTACTCGGTAGAGTCGGCTCCTGCAGCATACATGAATGCCTTCTCATAAAACTTCGTATCGTAACACTCCCTTTCATTCCTGGTCGCGCAGTGTGCTGACTCGCTTGACCACTCCGGTGAGGTCGGAGCAGTGCTTGAACTGCTGACGTGGCAGGCGCTTGGTGAGAAAGTCGGCTGCCATCTCAGTAGTCGGACAGTATGCGAGGTCAACCTTGCTCTAGTCAATTTCGTCTTTTGACGAAGAAGTACCGTAGCGCGATGTGCTTCGTGCGGTTCACGAACCCTGGCTTGTTCGCGATCTTGATAGCGCTCAGGTTGTCGCGGCGATGTATTCTGCTTCAGCCGATGACAGGGCAACCAGTTCCTGCTTCTGCGAGTTCCAAGAGATTGGCCCGGTTGGCTCTAGTTGGAAGACGAAGCCGGTTCGGGACCGTCGATTCGCAGGGTCAGCGACGTGATCTGCATCCACGTAGGGTTGAAGGAGGTTGTTGCCAGCGTGGAGTAGGAGAGCCCGATGTCAGGTGTGGAGATGAAATACTGCGGGGTGCGCTCTAGATCCAGCTAATTCTCGGCTACTGGCTTGCAAGAGAACTGTGCCAGTTGGCTGGCGATCTGACCTGAGGTCGGGTCGGCATGTGACAGAGGCGAACAGCAGGCAACCCAGTTGCTGCTGATATAGTTGTAGTCTCATGGGGGACAGAGGATTGTTGTCCGGTTTGTAGTTGGCTCTGGGGTTGCGATAGGGAGTTGAGAGTGGTGCGCGCGAAATGTTGAAGCGTTCTCCCAGCTATTCTGCGTACTTGGAAGCTGACAGGTGAATTGCTTCTGGCGCGTAGGTGATGTTCAGGCCCAGAAACTGAGTGACGTTGTGGTTGATGGTGACATCCACGCGCTTCGCCAAATTCTCCTCGAACTGATTAAGGAGCGTGTTGCAGGTGCCAGTGTATAGCAGGTCGTCGACGTAGACGGTAAGGAGGATGTAGTCGCCGTTGAAGTGGAGGCGGTGCATCCCCGGATCGTGTGGCAGCTGCCTGAAGCCGATCTCGAGTGGAATTTTGTGCAGGTGCTGCTGCCAGAGACGAGGCGCCTGCTTGATCCCATAGAGGGAGTTCTTTAGCTGGCAGACCCTGGGGTCTCCTTCCCCGTAGGTGTGTAGCTCCACGAAGATGGTTGCGTCCACCAACGCATATAAAGATGCATCCTTCACGTCAATCTGTCGCAGTGGCAGATTCTTAGCGGCGGCTATAGCGAGTAGAATCCTGACTGATTTGTGACGGCTGACGGGAGTGAAGGTTTGATCGAAGTCGATGCCGTGGCGCTGGTCGTATCCGCGTACGACCCATCGTGCCTTGAAGCGCTCAATGGTTCCGTCAGCGTTAGTCTTGAGACGAAATACCCATTTTCTGCTTAGCACTCTCCTCCCCTTCATTGCTGCATAATCGACGAGGACCCATGTGTCGCGGGACTCCAGCGCCTTTAGCTCAGCGTCCATCTTGTGCTTCGTCCTGTGCTCCAGTCTGTGCTCCTGACACAAGGCAAGAGCCGCCTTGTTGTCACCGTACAGAACTGGCGGAGAACTAGGCCGCTCTCCCAAGTCAGTCAGCAGGTAGGTGAGCCAGCGTAACTCCTGTGCAGCCATGGCTGTGGCGTAGATCTCAGCCTCACAACTAGAGCCGAGAACAGAGGAAGAGCGGGTGGACCGCCACGAGACAGAACCAGAGCCAAGGCTGAAGGTGTAACCCTGTGACGACCGCTGCGTAGCCAGGTCGTCCACCCAAGAGGCGTCCGAGTGACCAGTGAGGACAACTCTGTCGCGTCCTCCAAGCACCAGCCCCATGCCTGATGTACTGCACAGGTACCGCAGCACCCTCTTAGCAGCCTCCCAGTGCTCTCGCCTGTGTCTCCCAGGCGCAACGTAACGAGCAAGGATACTAAGAGGGTACGCAAGGTCAGGTCGCGTGCAAGTCATCAGGTACATGAGGCAGCCTACAAGCTCTGGGTACGGGCCACTCGGCTCTATGGACTCGTCCGAAGGTGGAGCTGAGAGTGAGTGGCTGGTAGCCAGAGGTGTGGCCTGTGGTGAGGAGAACTGGAAGCCGAAGCGCTGAAGGACCTGCTGCACCATGTGTGACTGAGTCAGGGTGATGGTGCGACGGGCTCTGTCCCGGGTGATCTGCAAGCCAAGGTAGCTACGCAGTTCACCCAGGTCAGTGCAGGTGTGTCTCTTCTGCAGCTCCGACTTCACACGAGCGAGTGCCTCAGTGTCAGCAGTAGCAAAGACCAAGTCGTCGACGTACACGAGGATGTAGAACGGTGGCAGCGACGTGTCAGTGCGCAGAAACAGCGACGGGTCAGCAGTAGACGGCGCGAACCCAAGAGCCGCAAGAGTAGTCCTCAGTGTGTCGTGCCACTCACGTGGCGCCTGGCGGAGACCGTAGACTGGCCGGCGGAGACTCCACTGGGTACCAGGGGGAAACGACCCAGTAAAGCCAGGTGGGCGGCGCAGCCAGATCTCCTCGTGCAGGCTGCCCTGCAGGAACGCTGTGCTGAAGTCAAGAGAGTGAAGCTCGTAGTCACGCTGAGCAGCAACGTGCAGCAAAACCCGAAGAGTGGTCATCTTCGGGGTGGGGGAGAAGGTCTGGAAGAAGTCGACCCCCTGACGCTGACTGAAGCCTCGAGCCACGTAACGCGCCTTGAAGACAGGCGGAGAACCCGGCGGCCGCTTCACCCTGAAAATCCACATGCCATCGACGATGTTCGC